AATCTTAAATTAGTGATCCTAAATCTCTATGAATAAAATTTTTGATTTTAAAATATTAAGAATCAATTATTCTTCTCTGCCACATTGATTTAAAAAACATTAAAATGTTAGTGCTCCAATAATTTTGTCGGGATAGTATTCTGGTCAAGATATAAAAAGTTTTATCAAAATATAAATAGTTACAAATTGGAAATTGTATTTTCTTTGATGTGGTTGTAACCTGTAACCGAGTCTAAAACTTATTAGCTATTGCACCTTGGATTTTATGCACAATTTTTCTTAATTTTTCGATTATCCTAAATCTTCATTGTCACAAATATTCTCACGCTCTCCACCACATCTTGATCTTCTATGTCACAATCTTCTTTGCATAAATTTGTGTCGTCTCATAAAATATCATTATATGAAGTTTCCTTGTACGATTGCATAAATAAAAACGTAGGAAGTAAGTCCTCTCTCATTCAGAATTTCTTAATTTTATGTATAAACATTTTGAATTCTAACACAATATAAGTATGTACTTAGTAAATTGTAAGTTACAATATAAGATTATTTTGATTGAAATAGTAAATGAAGTCACTAAGATAAAGTATTAAAGTCTTATTAAATCTTTTTTCTAATTTGTTTATTTTAAATATTCAATATTTTAAAATAGTCAAATTGTATGGAAATAATTTTATTTCATATCATAATTAGTCATCTAATCATAAACAAAAGTTCTAAGTATGATATGCATTGAATCAATCTCATAGTATACGTATTATTCTTTTGTCTAAAAATAAAGTACATAATCATGACACATATAATTCTCTTAGATAATGTAGTCTCAAGTCTTTTAGTCACATTATTATAAATTATAAATTTATTTGGATAATCTCAAAATAATTGAGATTTACTCACTCAGTGTCCTCCGTAGATGTTTGTTCATATTCTAGTACACGTAGATGTTTGTTCAATGGAGGAAATTTTGGTATTTTCTCCATGTTTATTCATATTCTAGTACAGAGTATTTTTTTCTAAAAAAATATAGCGACATTGTACATAAGACATATACTCCGTATATAACTTAAATTGGATCTACCCATATTTTGATTAAAATTGCCACATCATTCAATCGTTAATAGGTGCCGGGTGATTTGTTAAAATGTTGTCATGTAGATTCGCCACTTGTTGCAATTCTAGGAGATTAACTCTAAAATTTAATATATAAAGATAAAGATATGATTATTTTCTTCTCACATTAAATAAAACTCAATAATGATAATAATAAGAAATATTAGCATTCCTTTGATTATTTTCTTCTGCATTAGTTTAAAAACTCTATTACTTTATGATTCTTCTATCTCGAATGAATTTGGATTTGCGAAATAAATATTATTCATCTCTCCCAGCTTCAATATGATCTCTTCCCTCGCATTGATTTTTGAAAAAAGCTATCTCAAATAGGAATAAAACATAATTTTATCTCCAAAATAAATTTTTTATATTTTTAATCCCGAAATCGAAGTTTACTCTATAACATTATGACACAGAGTATTATCATTCCACAATACTTTTTGGGATTGTATATTAACAATATATGCATTGTAACTTTTTTTTAAAGACAAAAATATGGAATTTTTCTTTTGGTGCTTTCTCAATATTTTATTCCTATTTTGGTGTTTTTACCTTAGAATAATATGAGTTTTTTCTCTCCCCACTTAATTCAAAAAATAAAAACTTAGATTAGCAATCTCTTGCCCCCAAAAAAGTTAATTTAAAAAATAATAAAAATCTAATGATTCTTCTCCCCCACATTAATTCAAAAAAATAAATATTAAAAAACATTAGTGATTCTATAATTCTGAATAGAAATTTACAAACACATTTTATAGTTTTTTCTTTCTGAATACGAAATTATTCAAGCCCATGAAAGTATTTTTTTATTTATTTGATTTAAATATTTGATCATTTAAGAAAATCATATTTTACTATAGAGATTAAAATACATTTTTTATTCTACATCAATATTTAAATAAATGGAATAGAAATTAACTTTATTTAAACTTTAAAACGTGTAGAACAACAATAATCCAACTGGATTCCACGAAAGTAATATCTGGAGATGGTGTGCCCTACTTGGAAGTAGAGATTTAAAGCCTGTCATAAAGAAAAATAAATTTTTTAGATGTTAAGAATTTTTCTCTTTTTAAATAGATAAGTAAATCTTATTTATTAATTTATAGCTTTATTTTCGATGAGGTGAGACTATAAAATTAGAAAAATATATTTTTTTTAAAATGATTATCTCTATTATATTTTATAATTAAATTTAATCAATGATGTTGAAATTGTAAAGAAAGTTAGCGTGAATATAGCATTTCATAGTAACCCAATTTTTTGATCAATTTTGTTACATAAGTTAATTAAAAATATCATATCAATGAAGAAAATTAAACATAATATATTTTTTAAATTTACATCATAAATCATCTAAGAACTATAAACATAATTTATCTAGTAATTAAATCTAATCATAAAATAAATATATTCTAACTATGGAGTTATGTATAATATATTTTTTCTATTTTAACACAATTATAGTTCAATCATCTCTTGTTTTTAAATTTTTTGATGTAATTTTTAACAAAATATATTTTAATGTAGTTTTAAAATTTATTAAAAGTTTAATTATAATAGAAGAGAGTAGAAAATATTAAATTGGGAAAGATTACTATCACAAAGAATGGATTTTTTTCTTTCATAATTAATTTTATTCAAATATTTCATACTATAACATTATTTTCACATTTTATACTACTTAAATTAGGTTGAATATTAAGTGTCAAAACAAATACAATTTTTTTATAGGTGACGAAATATTTTATTTATTACGTGTCAGCATTTAAACAAATATTATAAAACTAACCTCATTTATTTAAACGTATCATAAACAAATATAAAATTTATTTGTAGGTGAAGAAAGTATATTTTTTATTATTAAAATGTTTTGCAATAAATGAAGATAAAAATGTATAGAATTCGGACAACAAATTATCATAAAAAGAAAGCTTTTTTTCATTTTTAAGTTTACTCAAATATTTCTTATCCAACTTTTAATTTCATATAATAAATTAGGTGGCATCTTAGTGATAAAAAAAGCCACATAAGCATGACAAATGTCAAGTTTTTGGAGACTCAACGCTCCTTTTTTATATATAAAGATATATATATATATATATATATATATATATATATATATATATATATATATATATATATATATATATATATATATATCT